TTCATCTAAATTCTCCATATAAAATGATTCGTATTTTTTCAAATTATGTATTCACTTGGATTCATAGTATATAATCGTTAAACTTTGAACATTTACCATTATAGTATGTAATCGTTAAATTTTGAATATTTTCTATTAATCTATTATAGTTTGTAATCGTTAAACAATATTTGTAACAATTATTCTGTATAATTTGTATTCTTGCTTATTTATTTAGTGTTTTGACAATGTTTTATTTTTTATTTCTAAATAATAAAATTTTAATATTTTAGGAAGCAGGTACCCGAAACCGGTTCCCGGCGGTTCCGGTTCCGGTTCCAAAAATTTAAGAACCGCTCTAACCGGTTTCGGTTCCAATATCTCAAGAACCGCCGGTTCCTGTTCCTGTCAAAAAGGACGGGTACCCGCCTATGCTCACCCCTACATCCAAACGTGCACCTGGAAAATAAGCTAGCTTACTTTTCCAAGCAATGCCTTAGACATTTTTGGCATCCTATAAAGTCGATTTTGTTATAGTGAAATCATGGTTCTATGATCAAGTTCTTACCTCTAACAACGGGAACTTGAAGAAGATTACGAAAAACGCAACGAGTCTTGATGTAGTTCTGAACCCGTGGACCGTGAAACGGTTCTTCCTCTAGAAATCTTTGCATCAAAACCAGAAACCCTTGAAACTCACCAAAAACCTCGTGAAATTGATGAACTCCATGCGGGTCCGATTCCCATATTTCCAAAACCTTTTCATATTGCCAACGAAGGATTTCCCAAGATAAACACATTTGTCCAATGTACACAACTTCTAGATCGCTCTGTAGTTCTTTGATGAACTTTCTCTTGGGGTTTCTATCGCGTTTCTTGACTTTGGTTGATGAAAAACGTACGCAAAGATGTGTTGTAATTTCCGGGACTAAAGATCTTGAGCTCGAAACCGATTGAAAAGGATCATTTAGCTGCAAGAAACCTGTATCTTGCACATCATAGATTAAAATATGATGAGAGATTGCAACATTTTACAGTTTTTATAAACTAGTTTTTACCAAACATGGCTAGTTTGTCAAACATAGCCTTAAAGTTGCATTTGGTACATGGGTTAGACATAACATGACAAAACTCACTGTCACACCATGTCTGGGGTGACATGAGATAGGACAAAATCTCAGTGTTTCACGTTTGACGCAGATACAAAAACCAGGACTATGTGAGACAAAAAAAAACTTATTTTTTTCTTCAGAAATCACAAAAATATGACATAAACTAAAAAAAATTACTAATTTACCCTCGTAAAACAATGTGTTAAATCCTTATTTATGACTCTTTTGACTCAAAGAATTCAAAGTTTGACTTGTGAATCCCAGCCCTACTCCATGACCCCCACCTACAAAAAGGGTACCTTTATCTAAGCCATCATTCCTATTTCCTATGCCTTTTTTGTGTCTCTTTTAATCCCCACTTGACCTAATAAAGGGGGGTCCCTTTTTTTATTAACGTAAATATTCAGCTCAGTTTGCATGGATCTCGACTAATTTTACAGGGTTTTAAAAATAACAGAAAAATCTTGATTTGCCGTTTTCATGTTCTCTTATTTGGTTATTTCTCTCGTTTGAACCCGACTCTCTCTCTCTCTTTATATATTTATGTGTGTATATATATATATATATATATATATATATATATATATATTTGCGTAAGTGCCAGTATCCAGGCCAGCTAACGCGTACCGACTAATCCCTGGACAACCACAAGGGCTTTGGCAACGATTGGATTCGAATCAGGTTAAGAAAAGATTTCCAGTACATCCCATAAGCCTTAACCAGTACGCCGCAACCTAAGTGGTTCATTAAACATATATTTGTCAAATCGGTTAGAAGCGATAGAACTACTGAAATGAAGGGGTAAAATCGGTTTATATACCTGTGGCATACATTTTCTGGTAACTGAGAATGTCGAATTTTTGCATTCTCTCTTTGTAGATTTTGTAGAACTTATGAACTTCATTCCACTTATGTCCAACATCCTGGTATGATTCCTGTATCTTCTTCCATGGCTGAAACTCCACGATCTTCGGAGGTGATTCTGATTCTTCGAAAATGGTTGGCAATCCCGTAACTTTAACCTTCTTGATCTCCATTTTCAGCTGTTTGATCAGTTCTTGATGTTCCATTAAAGATTCCAACTTGTTTCTTGAATCATTTGACAGATTTTTGGTGTTGGAATCCGCGGTTTTTTCTTCAGATTCTTGTATATCTACTGATTTTGTGCCAAAATCATCACCATCACCATATGCATCACTGGTTGATGGATGAAATTTGTTTGAAGTAATTGAATCTGAGTCTTTATTCATTGATGAATAAACAGTTCCTTGATGGAACTTCTGTTCATCAACTTTCTGACCAACTTTCTTGTTTGAATTTTGGAGTTTTTCTTCATGGGGAGCTTCTTTTTCTTTGAAATCATCTTTGGAATCATCATTATCACCACCATATGCATCAACTGGATTACTGRTTGATAAATGAATATTCTTTGAAGTAATTGAATCTGTGTGTGAATTCACATATGAATAAACACTTTCTTGATGAAACTTCTGTTCATCTGCTTTCTGATCAACTTTCTCACTTAAATCTTCATGGAGAGCTTCTTTTTCTTCAAAATCATCTTCGAATTCATCCAGGTTTTCATCCGCTCGTGACGAAAATCCATAATCACCTGCTTCAAAATCAACTGGATTACTGGTTGATAAATGAATATTCTTTGAAGTAATTGAATCTGTGTGTGAATTCACATATGAATAAACACTTTCTTGATGAAACTTCTGTTCATCTGCTTTCTGATCAACTTTCTCACTTAAATCTTCATGGAGAGCTTCTTTTTCTTCAAAATCATCTTCGAATTCATCCAGGTTTTCATCCGCTCGTGACGAAAATCCATAATCACCTGCTTCAAATTCATCAAAACACATCTCAACAACAGATGAAGATTCAACATCTCTCTTGCCTCCATTAAACTCTTCAAAATTCGGAAACTTAAACAAAAATTCAACAAATTCTTGATCCTCTCCTTCTCCCAATCTTCTGTTCAACTCAATCTGTTCATAGGTTTCTGCTAAAACAACTCTCGAATCCCCAAATTTGTTCTCCTTAAACCCCAAATTCCTCCTATATCTGTAATCGAAAAGGGGAAATCAATCTTCATGTAAATTATAAACAAATCTTACTGTAAAAACTATCAAAACGTTTGGCATACCTTATGAGATAAAGAAACAATGGAATCAAATAGGCGGATGCAAGAAGACACAGGTTTTCAAACAAGAACTCATGAACAGAACCCATATTAGCATAATCGATGAATCCAATCTGAATTAGCGAATACAGTTTAGTCCATTTAATCAAAATCAATGGATTCAATTTGAAGCAAGAACACGAACCTAGTTTGTGAAATCCATGGCGATTTGAAATTTCTTTATCTGGAAACAGACCAGCCACCTGTAGGAGAAGAAGAATCGAACTAAAACGATGATGAAATCTGACCTAATTTGATGGAAACGAAAGCCGAAATCGAAGTGGGGTTGCTTTCGTTTCGGTCGGATTTTGAGTTCAACATTCACTGTTCCTTCAGAAACACGTATCAATGAGAAATTATGGAGATGGTTGAAGCTTGTTGGTGTTTGCATGGTGGGATAGGGATAGGGGTGGGGATAGAATTGGAAAATAAGTGATCAAAATTTGTTCCAAAATTGCACTTTTCTTGAAATTTGGAATTATTGAGGGTAAAAGAAATTGTTTAAAAAAATATATTTAAAGAATCGTTTATTAAATACTTATCAGGTAAATATTTATCGAGTCTCGGTTATTTTTTTAGATGGGTATAATAAGAGTCGAGATTCTTATTTGGTAAGAGACATAATAAGGACCGATACTCTTACCCGATAAGTAAGAAAAAAAGCCTCTTAATCAGTAAAATTTGTTTATCAACAATCCATTTCGATAGCTGAGAATCTTATCTAAGACTGGTTTTTTTTTTATTATCTTTTTGAAGTTATTTTATAAAATTATAGTACGAACTTTGAGGGGTTTTTTCTCTTCCAAAATTTGCAAGTTTTCATGATTTTTTCTAAAAAATTGTAATCGTAAAAACATTTATAATATCTTTGTACAATGAACGCTATGGTTCACATTTTGAATAGACATGAATACAGAGTTTTGAATTTCATGATTTATTCCAAATAAAAATATACTAATTTATAAAAGAAAAACCAAGTTGGGTCCAGCAACAGATTTATGGCCGGGACCGTAAGAGCTTAGTATAAGTCAAAAAACGAGGCCCGATCTAGATTGGGACCGGTTATGAGCCCAACCCGTTTTTTTTTATAAATATGTTACGTTATTTATAATCGTTGGAACTACCATTTTCTCTTTTCATTTTTTGACAATTTTTTGTTGTTGCAATATTTTAAGTCATATGATGTATGAGGGAAGATAGCAACTCAAGCGCAAAAAATGGTCACAATTCTCACTATAATACGTGATTTCGGCTCCTATTCAATTTCCCTTTTTAACAAACTATAATAAAACGTATTTTTAAGTATATTTTATTGACCCAATTACATATTTTAAAGAGTATCACAATAACATTTTTGTATCCTTTAAAAAAATTCAAAAAAAATATATGCAATAAATCGATTTTAAAAAAAAGACCAATTTGGTCCCGCGTAGGGACCGGTTCTCGGGACCAGCTACAAAGTATCTTAATCAAACCTTAGGTTTTTGGTCGAGACTGGGATTGGGACCGGTTACGCCAGGACCGATTACTTCAGAACCGATTATAAGAACAATGTTTAAAACCGGGACCAATTTAGGCCTGATCTGGTGCGAGGCCGATTTTTAACCGTCTCTAATTAAGATATTAGATTTTAGCCTAGTCTTTTCATTAATATCCAAAACCAATTGGGCCTTGAGGCCCAATCTCCTTAATTACCTCCCTTTTCTCAAACATCATGAAATAAATATGATTTATTGTTAATACAATTATCCATTTAAAATAAAATTTAACAGGAAGAATTTTATTGACTAATAAACACCTAGTTTGTAGACCGGTTAGTGATTATAAAACGAATTTAAGTTTGTGTTCAGAAGTTATGTAGACCGGTTACTGATTATACCAATAACTGGATCACCAGCTTTCCTGATTCGAATCCAGATACCGTCAGAGCCCTTACAGTCATGGAGTCTTACATGCGATGACTCCATACTGTTAGTAGTTATCTAGGGGATTAGTCAGCACGTTTAAGCCAACCCAGATGGTCAGATACCTAAACTATAAACCTGTGTAGAAAATAATGAGTTGGTATACAATAAATGCCTCAAGAATTTGAAGCCGTTCACCAACGCGATATCATCAACTTTCCCTAAGGCCCATTTAAAAAAAAGTGTATTAAAATAACTACGATCGTTGATGATAGATATACAAATTGATATCTGTAGTATACTCAAATGATTACCATTGTTGTTCTCAACAGACAATTGTATATCGTTAAAAATAGATTCCCTAAAACACCGTCGCCTTTTTTTTTCTTTCTCACATAAAATTAACTTCTAGAAGTTTGAGAAAGTATTTTTAAAACGTTCAACCTTCAAATGGATGTAAACCCTTTTTATTTATAGTGCAAGTCGACCAGATATAAATCTGCCTTAAAACACAAGCTGGAATTCGGGCCCTCTTCAATCCAAAAGTATGAAATGAAAAGGTTGAATGATAAGTACGTGGTAACATTTTGAATGTTCGAAAAATCAAGTTAGATACAGTGTTCCTTGGAAAGTACACTTTGATTGAATCAAATATTTCTTCTAAAAAACAAGACTGATCTCTAAAACAAATGTCAAATCAGATTTATTTTAATATCAGTGCAATTATAATGTCAAATAATCAATATATACGAGGTGTCGTAAACTGATTATCAAAAAGTAAAACAAAAAAAATGACCAAAAACTTACTTAATAAGTGCTTACCGGTTAAATTTAACACTATTACTTACTTATCGGGTAAGATTTTAGTTCACCAAAACAACAACATATGCAATAATTTACCCGATAAGTTTTTACCATGGTAAGAGTCGTCACCTTCACTTACCGAGTAAGACTCTTGTTCCTTCTCTCGCTCTTACCAGATAAGATTTTTGGTTCTTGCCACATTCATCTGGTAAGGTAATGTAACATAGTAAACGTTTACCTGAGTAAGTATTTGGTAAACGTCCCCTCAATGTACAGGGTACTCTTATTTCATAACTTATTTAATTAAAATATAATAAATTGTCAAGCAACAGAATAACAGGTTCAAACACTATCTGATATATTATATTTTTATTATAGTTAAACTTCTTATTTTGGTTATTCAATATCATGTAATCACTTATAAAATGCACATTCAAACACCTCTATGGAGTTATCTTAGACAAATATATAATCAGATCAGATCTAAACTCAGATTAATTATTAATACAGTTCCAAAATTCACATTTAAAGACTGATTATACTAATTAAACTACTAATAAAATAAAATTTATATATCATTATTAAGCTCACTATTTTTAATTTAAATTTTATTTAATTATTAGTTTAAGAAAAATCAAATGACTAATATGCACAAATATATAAAGCCAGATTTAGAAAAATTCAAAATATACAAGAACTTAAAATAATTAGTACGATATAAAATAACAAAAAAATTAATTAATAAAAATATTATTTTATTAAAAATGATAAACAAGTGTTATTTTGTAACATGCAGTTAAGTTTTGCTGTCTTTTTTTATCTGATAGTTGTTGTTATTAAAAAAAAACTAAAATTGAATCGAAGATATATTCAAACTTGCAACATATAATATCACATGAAAAACACATGATCAGGATATCAGTAATTTGCAACCACTTTTTGTTAAGTTTGCATTGACACGATAGAACGGGTCCATGTGTACCTTCTCCACTGTTTTTAAACCCGCCTCTTTGTATATATGTAGTCATAGTTGTGCACATCAATCTTTCACCCATGATGGACCCAATATGTAAAACATTGTAAACCATAATTACACTTCATAATGTGACGTAAACACGGGAAAAACATGACTTTGATTATATATACTCACAATATTTGAGGTCTGTAATTACTTATAATTCATACAGTACAAATATTATTGTACAAATTTGCTTTTTACATCCTCATGCGCTCTGTGTGGCGACATTGGGGCGAAAAATTAGGAAAGAGAGGGATTGCGTTTTTATCGCTTTTGGCATAGTGGGCCCCCCCAGTGGGGGGATCGCATGACGGGCTATTAACTCAGTGGGTAGAGCGTCCCCCTGATAATTGCGTTGTTGTGTCTGGTTGTGGGGGCTCTTAGCCACATGGATAGTTCAATGTGCTCATCGACGCCTGACATTGAAGAAAACAAATCTATATATATATTAAAGAAGAAACCAAAGGTAATGAGGTGGCACCTTCTAATGCTTAGAACCCCTTCTATCTTTTTTCTCATTTTTTTGATTTTTTTAAATGTTGAATATGTTAAAGACTTTTTTGCCCCTTGATGAAAAATGTATAGCTCATAATTAACCCGGGTTATTTTTGTAATTTTGTATACCCAAGTTTAACCTCCAACTCACATTTGCTCTTCCATTTACTTTCTTTTATTTCTTAATGAAATTTGTTTTTTAAAGTTTCAATAATAAACAAAATGAAATCATATAAAATCCTTTGGTGAGGGATGAAGAAGATGAGAGTTGAAGAAGAATTCAAAGATTTTAAAAGGTATGTAGAAATTATATTCATTAAAAAATATGATTTGTTA